CAAACCACCAGAATTTTTCTTAGATAATAAATATCTTAAAAAAAATTTCCTAATTTTAGATTAGATAAAATTTTCTTTATCGCTAATTATGATTTTTTTTTTACCCTTGTGCATAAAAATTTCTGATATCAGTATAGATATTTTTTTTTATATTCAAATTTTAATTATATATTTATAACAAGTTTAAATATAAAATAAAAATGAACGTATGATAATTTTATGAAAATTTAAAAATTATTAAAACATAAATAGAAACAAATATAAATACTTCTTTTAAAAGGAATAGGATATACTAATCTAGATGGCGTTACTAATTTACAACGACAAATATGATAAATAATAAATGAAAATCTTTTTAATAAAATATATTTAATATATATAAAATATTACATAATTTATTTAATATTAATATTATTGTATGATAGGAAAATATTTAAAATTTAACTTTAAAAATGATTAATCATTTAATAACGACCCTTTTATTAGAATAATTCTTATGTAATATAAGGATGAATGTTTTATTTCAGAAGCATCGGTTCGGTTCGGTTCAAAATTAAATCGGGTTCGGTTCAAGTTCGAAAGAACTGTTTCGGTTCGGTTTATTAAATTTTTGAAAATTTATTTTAAATACCAAAATTTAATATGAAAATAAATTTAGATCTAGATTCCAAGTAAATACTTTGTGATTTTTTATAATCAAATCCAAAATGATTTTGTTTCTTCAAAGATTTGTGTTCAAAATAATGGGGGAAGAAAAATTTTTAAATGCTCTGAATTTTTTATAAACCGTTTTTTACTTATAAAATGTTTTTAGGTCCGGTTTATTTAAATTTTCGAAAATTTAATTACCAAAATTTAATATAAAAATAAATTTAGATCTAGACTATTCCAACTAAATTTATTTAATATTTTTTATAGTGAAATCCAAATCTTAAATTTTATACTAAATAAAATTTATAATTTTGTTATTCTTCAAAGATTTATGCTCAACAAAATGATGGGGAAGAAAAATCTTTAAATGCTGAAGATTTTATATAAACCATTTTTTCGTAAAGAATGTTTCATGATAAAATAACAAGTTTAATTTTGAAAATTTTTATTAAACCCTGTGTTCAAGAGATATTTACTCGATTGACAAATAAATTGAAATTTAATTTTTCTAATAGAATGAAGCACAAAATCTGGCAAATATTTCGAAGAGTGCCCAATTTGAATAGGCTTTGTAATACAAAAGGAAAAGACATGTATTTGGTTAATTTTAAGATTGAATAAAATCGGGAAATTATGAAGTAACCCGTTATTTTGAGCTAGTTATCAGGCAAAATCTATAAAACATCTTACCCATATTATTTGACCCTGACTTCGAGTCACAACTTCCAGTAGCCAACACCTCATGGAGATTTTATAGCATTTAGAAAATATAATGATTTGAAATGAAATAATGCAAATTTATTTACTTTTAAAATTTTAATATTAGCATTAAATCATGTAGGTTTTTATTTTTAGGTAACAATATACCTTACATTTTGAAAAGTGGGGCAGGGATAAAATTTATAAGTTTGTATTCTATAATATATTTTCTATTCTAGAAAAAAAATGATATCTTAAATAGTCATGTTTAGAGATATCACTTTTTTGATAACCTGCCAGACTAAAAAAAAAGTGTTTTATTTTAAAAAAAATTATGTTTATTTTGGGCTAAAGAGTGATTTTCCTGTTATTTAATGATAAAAATTAGGGACCTGCAAGCCCGGTCCTAAGCCCGTATAATTTTATTAATATTTTTAAAAATATTTTTGTATTTCTCTACTTTAATTGATGAATATAATAAATAATACATTATTATTTAATTTAAAAGTAAAATGCCTTTTATGACAAACATTTCGTTTTCATAGTATATTGCATAATAAGTGAACTGAAAAGTAATATAAAATAAAATTTATTAAAAAATTATATAAATTGAATAATAAGGCAAACTATATTATTAATAAAGATCGGTCCCCTCTGGACTAAAAAAATTAAAAGACCGAGCCGAACTGCGGTCCTCGAAAAAGACAGATCTGTCCATCAGCCTAGTCTCGTCTAAGACCTTCACTACATATCACTATTTATGCCATTGTCAAATATTTTTTATCAAGATATATATATTTTTTTATATTTGAAGGACTTATTTTTTTTATTTTACTCCCTAATTTATATTATTTTTAATACTATAGCAAAAAAATAGGTCCTATATAATAATAAAAAATAACGATGATCTTCGTTTGACGTCATTTTTATTATAATAAAAATATATTTTATTCGCGAAACTAGTTAAGCCAAATTTTATTTTTTAACATACTTATCCATCTCATCATTCATAAATAAATTAAACATTGTAATTTTATGTCTATTTTTTTTCGTCCATATTTGACTACAAATGGACTTGCTAGACTTTCTGAACCGGATTATACAGCTGAAAAGATGATCGGCTATATTCAGATCTAATTTAGAAACTAAATAGAATCCTATCCATTTTTCTTAAAAATGTTTTTTGATTATGATGGGTCTTAACCTACTCCGGCTGACCTTGACTACATCTTTAAATTTTTAAGAACTATTAATTTATTATTAATCTATTAATTTTAAAAAAACTTTTATCAATGAACAAAGAATTTTTCTTTCTAAAAAAAGGTAAATTGTTAATTGAGGACTAAATTATCCTCCTAATTAGTAATGCAAAATCGTTCTACTGAAGATTTCGCACATAAGATGGCACGTTTGTATATCTATTAGCAAAATCTTGATAGGTAATATTTTTATAGCTAAAATAGTGAGTTAGCCGTTTTTAAAAGCCTCAAATGGAGCCATTTTGCAACACTACTCCCATTAAAGTTATCTCTACCCAACTACGTAGTTTCATAATTGCAATATATCTGTAAATTAAATTTATAATCACAATATAAATTTTAATTCATCACAAAATAATAGTTTTTATTTTAATTATATTATTTATTTTTTTCCCCTACTCATCATTTTTATATAATTTAATGGGGAATTTTTTTTCCATTATATTTTTTATAAATTATATTTAATAAATACAAATATTATTGTTCTTTTTAAAAAAATTATTTGCTATAAAATAAAATTCACCATGTTTTTTTTTAAAAAAATACATAAATAAAATGTAATCATTATTTTGATATATTTTTTTTATCAATAAAGACCCGACCCGATATCGGACTTTATTTTTTCCAATCCGATCCGAAAAAAAATTTTGTCCCACCAACCCAAAAATTTCTTTTCAATCGTCTGACCAATCAGAAAATTTTTCTCAATATCCGCGTGCCGTAATTTTAATTTAGGATTCCATCCAATTTTTTATTTTTCTTTAAAAAGCACATTTCAACGAAATCGGAATAAAATATATGCAAATTTTATGGGTTATTCTTGAAAATTATTTTCATTTAAAAGCATTTCGAAAAAGTAAATTATTTTAAAATTTTTCGTAAGTCCCAATCTAGTCAGAAATAAATTTCAAGCAAGGTCTAGACCCGACAGTCAGAGAAAACCCGATCAGGATCCGCGGCTTATGAGGTTAAAAGGCTCGATACATATTTTAAATTAATATTTTGGCCATAATATTAGGCAAGCCTAGATATTTTGTTAATAGATGTCCAAACCTTTCAGACATCTATAAAAATAATCTCCAGGCCTGTGTAATATTTTTTGGCCGAATTAGTGGGTCAGAATTGTAGATTGCTAAAAGCGGGAAAAACGTTACTGTTATTGTAAATTACAAGATTAGTGGGGTCCGAAATCAAGTGGGTGGTGGGGGAAATTATACGTAAATAAATATAATTGTCATTATTTAGCCCAAAGAGTAAATTTTTGGTAGGCTAAAAATTGTTTAAATATATAGATCTCACCACCAGGAGGTATTATAATCTTGCATAATTTAAGACGCGAAAATTGAGTTCGACAATGTATTATGTTTTTTTATTGAAACTTATATTTAAAAAAAAAAGTATATCTGATTTTATCATAAATTTACATACAGCCAGGTGTAGAAAATAGTCACCCAATGAATTTCAAACAATTATTCCACGTACTTAAAAAAATCTATTGAAAAAAATAAATATAACTTTAAATGTGGAATTAAATTTTCGAAGCAAAAGTTTCTCATATTCATACATGATGAAATTCATTTTAAAATTAACATTAATTTATTAGTAGGATGTTTTTAAAAAACGTGCTTAACTAAATTGGAATTGATAAAAAAAAACGTGGTGGCATATTTATTTAGTGTTTGCCATATCAACCTTTGGCCAACTCTAATATGGTTTAGAAAAACCTTTAGCCTTTAAAATTTGACTTAAACCTCTAAGGTCAGCTTATTTAAGATAAGAAAAATTTTGACCAAAACCATTTAGGAGTGGGACTAAAGATGGGTGATATAACAATAATTGTCAGGTCTAGCTAAAACGGTACGACTCACATTTAGAGGATTTACGCGTAAAAATTTACTTCGAATAATAACAATATTCGAGTTGAGTTGGGCTGGATTTTCACAACTTATTCCTCTCAAATGAGTAGTGCCGTTTGGCTCGATTCGACTAATTAACACTATTTACCGAGAAAACAACGTTTACGACTTCTTTTCATTATTAATTTCGGTATTACTGAACATATCACTTTACTAATATTATAATAAAAATAGATGTATTTATTATTTTATCGAATTATTTTAAAGCGTTATAATCCTAAAAATAGAAACTTTCTTAGAAATTAAGGTACAAAATCATCGAGTGTAAAAATGTTGATTTAGGTTGAAACTTAATACTTTTTTTTCAAATTTAAGGATTAAGAATTATTTTTACGATAATTGGATAAAATTTCAGCGGGGGCAAAAAATCATGCCAATTTCTAAACCAGGATTCCTATCTTAGAATATTATAGACAATAATTTTATATTGTTTAATATAATTTTATTTTTAAAAATCGCGATTTTATTTATACATATCGTATTTGACAAATTCATCATATAAAAAAATGTTTCATTTTTAAAAAGGTGGTGAATATTTAAAAAAATAATACTTGAACATTATTTAAATAAAAAAACATATTTGTATTATAAAAAATATATATTAAGATTTTTTAAAATAATAAAAAAAATTTAACTAAGATACGATTTCTAACATTTCATAATACAATTATTAAAAAACTTTATAAATATTAAATTAAATTTTCTTAAATTATATTTGATTTTGGCATCGGTTCGGTTATATGTATATATATTATATATAAACTTAAAATATATTTTTTTTTAAAAAAAAATAATATTTTCTACTTCGCAAAACTAAATTTTAGCGATTTGGACGAAAAAAAACGGAGTTATTTGACTAATAACTCTTTTAAACAATACGCAAAGATTAGTAAAGCGCCAACAAAAAATTGTACAGAATTTGGTTCCATTTAACAGTTTGGTCGATGTAACAGGCGTGACCGGCATTGACCAGGGGCACTATTACGCTAGTCGGGATCTGCTCCAAATATCTCAGGGAATCGAGTCCAAGCATTGTATCTGCTTCGCCATACGAGATAAGAGTCGGTAGCCTCAAACGCTTGTAATCAACAAAATCAAAATCTTCTGTACCCGTCGGAGCTATAGACACGAAGCCTTTGAGATTGTAAGCGAGCGATGGGCGGGTGTGGGTTAAATTGAGATTGGCGCGAGGATAATTGATCAAATCTAGACCGAAGGCTGAGTCGGCGCCGTTTTTATTGGGACCCATCTCCTTTAACATCACGTAAGGCAGGGAATACTTTCCGCTCATGGAGGGGCTTATCAGAACGACGTCCTGGACTTTAGAAACTGTGGTTTCCTCGAAAGTGATATTAGAACTTGTGTTTTGGCGATTATTCAATAAAAGCTTTACGAGGTCGTTGAGAAAGATGGCGTTTTTATAGAGGTCGAGCTTGGAGGCCTTGAAAGTTGACAAGGGCGTTTTGGTAGAAAGTCTGACAAAATTATCGAAGTTCTCCGGGGAGGGGTTTTGACACCTGGTTTTGCCGAAACGGGGCGGTAAATCAAACGCCACGCTTTGGTACCCCAAACGAGCGAATGTTTGAAGTGTCCCTATATCGTACCACGTATTTGCGGTGTATGATTTACCATGTAAAAATATTAATAAAGGTAGTGAGGATATGGCATTTGACGAAGAATTAATTTTGCCTGATAAAGTTATGACGTGTATGAGACAGCTGGAGCCAAGGCTCACGAAACTCTCCTTGAATACGGGTTCGAGGGATGAATCCTTAGCGGGCGATGGTGGTGGGATATTGTGTTTATAAACATCAAGATGCCGTATGCCGGTGAAATCTTTGACCTATGTTTAAAAATATAGAGAATATTAGATATTATATATTCTTATATGGCTTTTAGAAATAAATCTATAAATTTTGCAAATAAAATCTCATTTTTGCCATGGAAATTTAAAACTTTAGTTATTACCAAAGTCTGATTTGGAGATATTTAAAATAATATATTCTATGTAAGATTGTTTTAAATTAAACAAAATTTAAGGTATAGAAAGCTTTGCTGTCTACTGTAAAATTAAATAAGATTATTATTCTTATGTCATACAGTAAAACGAGTGTTAATACTTACAATAAAAGGGGGTAAACATAATAAGATTTTATTTTAATTTAATATAATATAATAGAAATAGAATATGGACAAGGAATTAAATAACAAGATTAATCGTTTTTAAATAATAAAGAAATTATGATGTAAATATATAATTTGTGATGAAAAATGGAAATATTTTTTGATCTTCTTTGAGAAGGCTCAAGTAAGATTTTAGATTAAATTTCATCTAAAATTCTAAATCATTTTTTGTAAAAAAGTCTTTATAATATAAATATTTTAGAATTTCTTAAATGTAATCTATTTTGTATCCATTTATTTCGATAAAAAATTTTTATACTTCATTAAAATAATTAATATGTAAAAAATATATTAATAAATTATCAAAATATTCAATTGTTCCACCAATTTGATGATGGCAACCTTTAAAAATTAAAGAGTTAATATAATTTACAAATCAATTATAAGGATTACCTAATTAATCAGATGCCCATGATAACCCATCTCCAAATAGCTTTGCATGTGATTGTAAAAGGTAGTAAAATCATAAGGAATAAAAGCGTGTAAGAGATGAATAATATTCCCAATAATTTCATCTCTTGGGACGATAGTGATCTGCATCGGGCCTATTTTTTCAAGCCCGGCCCGACCCAAAATTTTTTTTAAAAAAGATTTGCCAGCCTGGCCCGAACCAGAAATTCTTTTAAAAAATTTTGCCGCACCAGCCCGAACCCGAAATTTATTTTTAAAAAATTTACCAGCCCGGCCAGGCTTGAATTTATTTAAATATAGAAATTAATTTTTATAATTTCTTAAAATAAAAGACATGATATAGCGTTTAGTTTCAATAAATTAAATCAAAAATTTTTATTTTACATAAAAAATTCAATATAAAATTGATAATTTAGATATATTTAATAAAATTTCCAAAGTCCAACCTGACCCGGCCCGAAATTTTTTTAAAAATATTAGGCCGGCCTGGCCCAAACCCGATTATTTTAAACAGAATTAGGCCCGAGTCCGGCCCAGCCCGAAATTGATTGCTTGATATTTATTTTTCAAAACTCCAAAAAAATTCGATGGGATTTAGCTGAGGTGAATATTGTGTTAGATAATCAATCTTATCTTTATAAGCATCAAATAGCTTCTATGGATAGATGCATTATCCATTACAATAATTGCATCTGGTGGTAAGACACTGATAAGCTCTACATAAAATCATGGAATAATAACCCATTATAAGCTCCTTCGATTATTTTATAATAGATTACCCCTCCTATTGTACAAGTATGCTTACATTTTTACTTTTAGAGGATGGGATTTTAATTATTGGATGAAGTATGGTGCCCAGGCATAGATTGGTACAACATGCAAGTTTATTCCAGTTTCGTCTAAGATAATTTTTATCTTGGGATATTTAAGATCTTTACACAACAGATTTGACAAATATTAATTGCCCCGAGAGTATTTCTTCTATCAGGCTCCTTGTCAGCTCTTTTTTTTTGACCAACCTATATTTTGATATATTAACTTAACTAATTGTTGTTTTCGTTTTTGGGCTATCAGCGGGTAAATTTTCTAAATTTTCTATTATCTCCTGAATATTAAGAGTGTTATTTTCCATTAATAAACTTATGAGATCTTTCAATTATAGAAGAATCTTTTTTAGTGTTACTATTGGATAATAAAGATTTTTTTATATTAAATTAAACTTCCAACAAATTTCTTTTCAACAATTAATCTTGTTAATTAATTGCTTGCCCATATTTAATTTCAATGCATATTAAATTAAATTAAAATTTTATTATGTTGGCCCCCTTTTATTGTAAGTTGATTATTAACACTCATTCATTTTAAGACTATGACAACTGAGACTTGGAAAGTCATGAGTAATTTTTTTTATTGAAATTTTGAAAGTAACAATGACCAGGTCATTAACAAAATATCTTTTTTATTTTTTTTGGAGGGGGGTGGGGATTGGGGGGGGGGGGGGTGTAACAGTAATTTCAAATTTGAGAACAGGCAAATTCTTGATGGAGTCCACTTCCTATCCCCTTGGTTGCATGCCTGCTTTAAAGGCTTACAATTAGGCTTTATAGAGAAATTTAAATGATCAGTTTTATTAGAGGGAGTGAATTTTCCCTAAAATGCCCCATTTTTTCGAATTAAAAGACCCGTATCTTCCTGCTGTTCAGAGTTGAAGGCTAAAAAAATTTTTTGAATAATATATAAAACTCTAGTAAAAATTTTAGAAAAATCTGAGGAGTCAGGTTAAAATTCATGTTGATTTATCATGGAATTTACCATATATAATTTATAAATGAAATGACAAATGATTAAATTTTATTAAAAAACATTTATTATTACAAATAATTCAAATATTCAATCAAATTATTCATTGATTCAATCACAACTAATTAGTAATTAGTCAAATAATGAATTATTTTAATAATTTGTCAAATTATTTGTTTTATTTGAATAAGAAAATTTTTTATCCATATTCAAAGATAAATTTTTTAATAAATTATTAAGTTTTATAAATTAATAAATAATTTTAAATTTAAGCATAAAATTATTTAGATTGTATTTAATATTCTCCTGAAATTATTTGTTTTATGATTATAAAAAATAAAAATTTGTTATATAAATATATTTAGTATTGTTTAAATTTATGTAAGTTGGATAACATACAAACATAAAGAATAAATTTTTATACTTACACTCATTCAAAAATATAAACCATTGTCTGTTTTGACCATAAAGTGATGAAACAGTCATTTTATAAAATATAATTAAATCAAAAAAAAGTAATATTATTTAAATTTATTTTAAAAGTATGGAAAAAATATATTAACTTTTGAATTGGCTATTTTTGGGTTTGATTCTAATTCTGTAGAACTTTGGTACAAAAAATATATTAGGCATATTATGATAGCAATAACGGAAAAAATAATAAGTATCTACAATAAATTCGAAAAGTTAATAAATAAGATATCTTGATTTACTTTAATAGGTTTCATTATATATTGTTGTTTCTCATATATGCATTTTTGAAGATAATAATTAGGATTCCTGAATCATATGTAGAATAAAAAATAAAAATCGAATAGATGCATAATTGTCAGTTAATAGACAGAAGTCAAAAAATAATATAAATTAAATATTTTCAACATCTATTTAATCCTACCGTGAGGAATCAACGCGACTAACTTTTCTGTTAGTTATATCAAAAATAAGAAATAATAATAAATAAAGTAAAATAATTTATTTAATATTTTTTATTTAGGAATCTACAAAAGCTTGTGAACAATATATAAAAAGAAAATTAAATTGAATAAAAATTTTTAAATAAAGTCAAAAAAAATATAAATAATAAAAATGGATTGAATATAATTTCTTAAATAATAGCTTTTATTTCAATAAATAATATTGAGTAAAATATAAAATAATATCAATTTAAATAAATTATAATTGAATATGGAAATAAAAAGACTTTTTTTTATTTCTTAAATCCAACATTTATACATTCTAATTTAATTATAACTTATAATTTTACTTATTTTATATTTTTTTATATTAAAATTAACCTTATTATAATTGTTATAACACAGTTAGTTATAAATCACTTTCACTTTGATAAATCATTTATTTGTAATATATGATATGAAATTATAAATATCCTCCATACAACTATATGTTCATATAATTGAAACTATATGGTTATCATTTGATTGACTGTCCAACAAACTAACAATCTTATGTCAGTCACATCACCTCCCCCCTTTACTAATCCTAAAATATAACATTAAACTAAGAGAAGACATCATGACTGATTCATTCAACATCCATAACATCCATATGTCTATTCCAATCAGTTCTCATCAGGGGCGTTGCTAGCTTTTACAATCTTAGGGGGCTCAACTAAAAAAAAATTTATGGGGGGCGAAGCCCCCCATATTCCCCAATTTGCAATATATTATACTTTTTTAAAATTAGTTAACTATGAACAATTATTCTGATATTCATATTTCGTCATTTATTATATTATGGTTAAAAAATAAACTGGCATATAAAAAACCACATAATGCAATATTATAATTCTTACCAACTTACATTGATATAAGGTTATCAAACTAGTATAACTCTCTGTTACCATTTTAGAAACGACCAATCCAAATCATAAAACTCTATGGTGGTTAGAGCTTCCTTTTAGATGACATGATGGAAGCTAGATAAGTAATCGAGAAAATTATCGTGAGATATTAAATTTCTTAAAGATTATCTTCCATTTTAAATGGTATATAAACGACTACACTGTAGACCATTATTGTTTATCTAAAATATGCAATCATATTCTATCAGCCGTTGTTGTAATAATCTTATATTACATAGCAACACAAATAATATACACTGGTTAATTTGCAGTAATAGCCATGACACTCACGATGTAAACTTATATCAGAATTTATTATGTTGAAAATTGATAAAATAAAAACACTAAAAATTTTGAAAGAAATAATTATGCAAATATATTGCAGCCAGGAGTTATTTACACACAGCAATGCCATATTAGAAATGAAACATTTTCTAACTATAAAATAAGGACCAGAATGATATGATGAAACAATTAAGATTTTATATATTGTCGATATTATATCTTAAAATAATAGTAGTTTGTAATAATATCAAAAATATACTTGTATTAAAAATTTAATTCAAAACTGTTTTTCGAAAAAGAAAAAATTAAAACGAGAAGAAAAGATATTAAATTTATTACATCTATTGCAGGATGAATAATAAAATGTCTAATATTTAAAATATTTATAAATAGATGGCGTTAAATACTTGAATGCATATTGTTACTATATTTATTATCAAAACCATTTATTAGTAAAATTTATTATAATATTAACTGTAATATTATATAGTTGTCAAATACGTCTATAAAAGTGGCATTTTATCTAATATTTTATAACCAACTTTATATAATAGAGGATTATAAAATATATCTATTTATTTACTTTTTATAAAGTAATCTCTTATACTTATTTGGATCTTGAAAATATTTTTAAGAATAGGTATGATAATTAAATTTAAAAATAAATATACAGTTGATTAGTCATTTTGAACTCGGCTAATTACAATATTAAATTTGTTAATTTTGAAATAATATATGATTATATTTATTTAATTAGGGTTATATAATAATTTAAATAATAAAAAAGCTAAATTAATATTTTGTGAGTTATTTTTAATACAGAATTTGATTGCAAGCTGACATAGTGAAAATATAATTTATATGTATTAATCTAATATAATAATTAAAATAGTATCATTTAATAAAAATTTAAATAGTCTTATTAATTTTTAAATAATAAAATTAAATCTATATATTACTTAATGGAATTATAAAAGAAATCATTCAGGGAGCTATCAAAAAAATTCATTTTTAGTTCAAGGGGATATTAAGGAACCATTAAAAATATAAAATTTTGCTTCAGGGGGCTCTTCAAATTTTTCAAGGACTGGTTCTCATATATTTCTTTCTTTTGTTCATATCATACCATCTAAATCATACCCAATAACGATTTGATCCATCCAACCATCGATCTGCTTTTGAACCAAGTCATTGACATCATACCACGTCATCATTCTAGTTTGCTCATTAACCATTCGAAACTTACATTTGACCATTTATCATCCGAACATCCCCATCCAACTGTCCATCTTTTCATTTTACTCTTTACCCCTCTCCATTCACCATAACATCATACATTTGACCATTTGCCCAATTTTTCTAAAATTTATCATATTTCTTATACACCGATCATCCCATTTGACTATTCATCATTCATTTGACCATTCAAACATAAAATTGCTCTCTACATCTATCCATTTGATTATTCATCCATTGACCTGTTGCGTTATTCTAATTTCTTAATCTTATTATATATTTTTATAATCTAATTTTTTGTTATTTGTTATAATCTAATTTTATTTTATAAACGGCGTAACCTTACTTTTTTATATATTATTTTACTTTTTTGTATTTCGTTTTATATTCTAATATATATTTTAGAAAATGTATATATACCTTTAGAAAAGAAAAAGAAAGGAGTTAATAAAATATATTTTTTATTTAATAAAGTTAATAAAACATATTTATTATTCACCGGCACATAATTCATGTTACTCTACATGGAGCCTCCAGTTTTGGCAAAAGAAACTCGCCTTATGAAAATTTTTTTTAAAAATAAAATTTTTTTCCCTTTGTAAATATGGTTAATAAAAAAAATTATAAAATGGTACAAACAATTCTATATAAGATGGATAAAAAAAAGGGTAAGTCATTTCAAAATTATTTTCATCAATTATGTTCGCCTTCAAAGTACTAAATGTACCCCACCAAATTTCCATTTACGATATTTTATTCGATTTTACCTACAATTGCGATGTTAATTTTTCCAGAATAAGTGGTACGGAGGACGTGTTGTTTGAATTTATGAACTTAAGAGACATGATTAATTGTTTCGAATTGTTAAATGGGAAACATTATATTTATAGTGACAATGATTTCATTGAATTAATCTGTATATTTACCAAAACATGAATAGCTATACCAAAAATTTGAATTGATAAAATAATAAATGTTATAATTGCTTATTTATGTGTCTTATTAATTAAATATGTAAATTAAACAAGAATTTACACATAAGATCCCTAAGTTAGTGGGTCCTCTTACTGAAATTTATTTAGACAGAATATTAAATTACTTTTCGACCAGTACATTATCGGACTCTATTAAAATTAATACTTTGCTTAATAATTTATCAGACGAAGTTTTTGACGACATTAAGGCAATTTGTTCTGATACCGATATTTTAGATCTTAAAATTGTGATTAAAAAGTTAACCTATCTTTTACCAGCGCTAAATTTAAATACTTTAATTAATAAATTTAATCTTCTTCAACAAAACTCATCAGAGAGTTTTATGCTGTGGTACATTAGAGTATCGAAACTTCATAAGAAATGTAATTTTTTGGACGATAGTAGATTAAAAGAGAAATTACGGACATCTACTTTAAACGATAAAATTAAATACAAATTCTCCAAAAATTTTGACCTTACATTGAATCAGATGGTGGAATTAGGAGTGAAACTGGACTCTAGTAATATTAAGTCTGAGGATAATGATATAAGTTATATAAATAATGACAAAAAGTCCGATAAAGATAAAAATTTTTGCAGTAGAAATGTTAATAATTTTAGAAATAATTTTAGAAATAATTATGATAATAGATATAGAAATGGGAATTACAATAATAATTTTAGATACAATTATGGTAATAATAATTCGCGATACCACGATAATTATAACAATTATAACTATAACAATTATCGCTATAATAATAATAATCAATCGAATTATGGTAGAAATAATACATGGTATGATAATAATCAAAGAAAACAAATCCAATACGGTGACGGAAATCGTAACAATTACCAATCTTATTACAACAACTCAAATAATTATAGAGGTAATGATAATAATCAGAGAAAGCATATACAATATAACAACAACTCAAATAATTATAGGGATGATAATAATCAGAGAAAGCAAATACAATATAATAACAACTCAAATAATTATAGAAGTGGCGACGAAAATAATAGAAAGCAAATACAATACAATAATGATTACAACATGAATATTGAGGAAATTATTGAAGAGAAAGTTGATTCTACAAAGAACAAAGATGATAATGATTTTAATGTCAACAATTTATCTGGTGACGTGACTAATGACAAAGATAACGCATTTATAACTACTGTAAAAGTGAAAGATGTTGTTACTTGTATGCAAGTGGACACTGGATCCAAATACACTATTATACCTCATGGTCTGGCTAAAAAAATTGGTATTAGATCTTAAGAAATCTGAGCTACAACTCACTGCTTATGACGGGAATTTAATCAAAATCATAGGAACTACTCAAGTTAAAGTGACTTATGATGGTATTTCGAAATATTTACAAGCGGTAGTGGTTGAATCAAGTAAAAATGCCTTGTTGGGACGTACGTGGATCAATGCTTTCAAAAATATTTTAAATAAA